CCCCAAAACCCCAAAACCCCAAAACCCCAAAACCCCTAGGTACACAGACAGAATTGAACTTCCAGATGAAAAATATTTACTTAGCTTTCTTTTTCTTTGACTTAGATTTCTTTGGAGGAGACTTCCTCTTCTTCGCAGGAGAATTCCCTCTCTTTTTCTTCAGACTTCTTCTTGGCCTTTTCTAGAAAGATTAGAGGGAGTATATTACAGGGTCATCTATGCTTAATTTGTTAACCATCTCTTGCATTGACTTGTTCATGACTGGGTTAAAATCTTTATATGGATTCTCCATAAGTTCTTCCAAGTCATCAGTGCCATGGCCTAATATTATCAATTAAGTTTACCTTGGGCAGCCTTGATCTTCTCTTTCAGCTGTTCCTTAATGAACTTAACTTTCTCATTTTCCTCAATCTTGCAGTTGAGGATCTTTTTTCTTTGTTCTTGAATGATTTCAGACTTGGATCTCTCAGCCTGAATTCTTTCAAAGGCCTTCACCTTCTGGTATTCTCTGACTTTTTGAAGCCTTTTGGCTTCATTTAGTCTCTTATCTCGCTTAAGAGATTCGAACTCAGCAAGGATCTTGTACTCTTCATTCCGGTGTTTCAGGACCTGTTCAGTATGTTTGTCTTTCTCATGTAGCCTCTTAATAGACAGAGACTTCTCCTTTTCCTTTTCTTCTCCAAGCAACTTCCTGCGTTGTTCCATTCGTTGACTAAAATAAAAATTAGGATTAAATTTTATAGTTAATGATTACCTCTGGAAGCTATGGTATCGTTTCTTAAGCTCAACTTCTTTGTGCATGTTCTCCTTATGTATCTGAATTCTTTCCTCAAACTTCCTTTCCTTCTCCTTGAGCTCTTCAAGTCTTTGCTTGAGCATGCCGTCGCTCTTGCCTTTGACATTTTTATACTCAAGTTCCTTGAGCTTGGCCTTTTGGGCATTTATTTTCTCCTTCTCTATCTGAATTTGTTTTATTCTGTTATATTTCTCAACGATACTTCTTTGCTTTTCCTCCCAAGTCCTCTCTTGAGCTTCAAGGTTAGATCGAACTCTCTGGTTGGCCTCCTCAAGTCTTTTGTGGATACTTAATTTTCTGAGCAGCTGGTCATGTTCTCTTTGCTGCTGAATCCTTTCAAATTTCTCCTCGGCTACCTGGATCTTCCTTTCTAAGGATTCTCTTCTAAGCTCTTCAGACTGTTGTTGCTCTTCTTGAAGTTTAGTGATGTAATCTCTGAGCTCATTTTGCCGTTTAATTCGTAGTATTTCTTGACTATTTTTCTTGTATTTTCTTCATTTCTTGCTCCTTTTCAATCCTTGCAAGCTCTTCTTTTTCTTTCTCAATGCATTCTAATCGATATTTCTTTTGAGAAAGTTCCTTTTCATGGATACGTTTCTCACGCTCTTCGTTTCGTTTGGAAATAACTTTCATTTTGAGTTTATTTTTAATTAACTCAAGAGTCTGTCTCTGCTTGGAGTCGCTATCACTCCAGGCTGCCTTTTTCTGTTCCTTTGTTTCATCTTGTTCTTCTTGCTGGATTGCTTTCTGTATGACCTCTTTCATCAAAGCTTTGTTTTGGGCCTGGAGTAATTTCAACTGCTTCGCTTCGTTCTTCAATTGAATCTCAGCAGCCATCTTCTTTTTAGTTGGCTTGAAACTCAAAGATTGACTAATGGCGTTAGGAATTCTTTTAGGTGCTGGACCTAGCTTCCCAGTGTACTTGATCTTTTTCTGAGAGTTATTACGGCTTTTTCCCTTGATCTTTTTCTTCTTTTCGTGGAGAATAATTTGTCTTTCTCTTTTCACATTCCTGACCTTTTCACGGCGATTTTCTTCATAGTCCTTATACCGTAGCCTCATAACAGCCGGGGTTGCTTTCATATCAGCTTCTTTTTGAATAAATTCTTCCTCTTTGAGATATTTAAGTTCATGTGGTTCATAACCCTGCCTACGAATAGCCTCAATAGTTTTAGGACTCTTGACATCAAGATTTTTAGCTCCCTTGGGAGGCTCACCTCTCTTGAGCCTCTTCTTGTTAGCCATTTCAATATTATAGATAAATATCGGGGTTTTGGGGTTTTGGGGTTTTGGGGTTTTGGGGTTTTGGGG